GGAGTAAAGGGCCGGAGGCAGGCGTCGCTGATGGGGGGGGGGGGGGTGCTGCGGGTCCATCTCAGGCACCTGTTTAAAAATAGCATACAAGACTCACAATGAGCATATTAGAAACCTACTCATGAATCTTACTGGTATCATTAAGATCAACAAAACCTTTAAAAAGTATTTCTTCGGATGTAAACAAGAAGAGTACATTTTGGTGTTTTTGCTATCTTGTTTAAAAGAGATATTGAAACACGTAGAAAGCTTTTTGCATCCTGGTCAAAATATGGGACTGGCCACTGCAGCCGTTATGTGAAAAACCAGATAGAACTACAGTGATCAAACGATTGTTGTTAGCAATGACATGAAGACAGGTGAAAGAATTAAGTAAAACTACATAATATGTCCATGAACAAACATTTAATTGTTTTCACATGCAGAGAGTGATTTAAAAAAGGGTGGCTCTTCTGCTTAACTCTGCAGGGCTGGCAGGGAATTACCAGAAATTGGGAAAGGGCAGGGCTTTTCTGTTTTTAAGACTTGCTGGTGAGCAGTTTAGCACAGTGTAGAGTTTGTGTTTCATAGCATTAGCATGGCTCTGCAGTACGCTTGGATTAGCTCTGCAGTACACATTTTGTTAGTATGTGTCTGTACTGCACAGTTAAAGCCACAGGATTCACAGCAGTGGCTGCCGTTTCAGCCTCCTCTGAGCCAAATGAACACGCAGGTATCATCTGGCAATGCAGTGATTCAGAGGCTCCCGCAGCCGCAGCTCCTGCCGCAGCAGCTCCTGCAAGCTTCTCCATTGTATCAGGCTGCCCAAGTAGCTGCAAACCAGCCAGTGATTCAGAGGCTCCCGCAGCTCCTGCAGCAGCAGCTCCTGCAGCAGCAGCTCCTGCAAGCTCCTCCATCATACCAGGCTGCCCAAGNCCAGCCAGTGATTCAGAGGCTCCCGCAGCTCCTGCAGCAGCAGCTCCTGCAGCAGCAGCTCCTGCAAGCTCCTCCATCATACCAGGCTGCCCAAGTAGCTGCAAGCCAGCCAGCGATTCAGAGGCTCCCGCAGCAGTCCTTGCAGGTTCCTGTATCCTATCCGTTGGCAGCTGCAGGCCAAGCAGTGGATTCTAAGCTCCTACCGCCACTGTATCAGGTTCCCCAAAGCCAGCTAGAGGTTAAGGGAGCTGTGAAAAGCCAAGAAGTCGCGCAGCTGAGGCCACAGGTGCAATCTGTGAGCGCTGATTGCCAGGAGAGCTCTGTGCTGGTGGCTGTGCACAGGGACTTGTTTGGTATTGGCCGGCTGATCGACCCATCTGATGTCACCCTGGGAGGCTGTGCTTCAACTGGGCAGGATTCCTCTGGGCAGGTGCTGATGTTTCAGACTGAGCTACAGAACTGTGGCAGCACAATGATGGTAGGTATCCCATAGGATGAGAGCATGGCTATGGTTGACTGGTATACTAACTGGAATTGCTGTCATAGATGACTGAGGATACCCTCATCTACACCTTCACCCTGGTGTACACACCCAAAGAGCTTGGGCCTGGAGCTCCTATAGTGAGGACCAATGCAGCAACTGTCAACATCGCATGTTATTACTTGAGGTGTGGATTTAATGCTGAAAGCACAGGCTTACCCACTTGCCTTCTGTTGTGGGTATGAAGCTCTTAACCAATAATCTGAATGGTGCTCACTCCTGCTTAGGAAGCAGAATGTGAGCAGCAATGCCCTGGTGCCAACCTGGGTGCCATTCCTCACCACCCTGTCTGCTGTGGACAAATTGGTCTTCACCCTGAGGCTCATGACTGGTAGGTGAGCCAGACTGCATGTCAAGTCCAAATGCTACATGGTGACCATGCATCTCTCCTCCAGATGACTGGAAGGCTGAGAGGACCTCCAATGTCTATAGCTTGGGAGATGTGGTGAACATTGAGGCTGCAGTCATAGTGTCCCACCATGTGCCCCTGCGTGTCTTTGTGGATAGTTGTGTCGCCACCTTGGTCCCTGATGTGAATGCTGTGCCCAGCTACACCTTTGTTGTGAACCATGGGTGAGTGACTGACTGACTTTACTGACTGCTTAAGCAGGAGCCGCTTGCGCTGTTCAGCTAATGCAGGATGTTTTGGTTCCTCAGGTGCCTAATTGATGCAAAGCTGACCGGCTCTGGCTCTCAGTTCATGCCAAGAACCCAGGATGACAAGCTGCAGATGCAGCTGGAGGCCTTCAGGTTCTCTCAGCAGAATAGCAGCTTGGTGAGTGGTTGGAGGTGACTGGCTGTGTACTATGGTGTTCCCTCAATGATCAATGGCTCCCATTCCTGACCCTCTACAGATGTACATTACTTGCCTGTTGAAAGCAACTGTGGCTTCTGCTGCCTTGGACATGGGGTACAAGGCCTGTTCCTTCTCCACTGTGGCTAACAGGTACAGCTCCTTCCAGGTGGTGGGTAAGTGTTGCTTCCTCTAGTGTGGCTGACTGGCTGCTCTTGTAGATGGGTGGATGCAAGTGGGGGGGACCAGCTGTGTGGCTGCTGTGACACAAGCTGTGATCTCCGGAAGGGCAGGAGCCTGGATGATGAAGGTAAGGCTCAACCTTGCTGTTCATGTGCATCACTACAAAAGCTTTCCAAGTGAGGGTTTCTGTCATCAGCCCCACAGTGGCAGGATGAAGCTCTCCTGGGTCCTTTCATTGTGTTGGAGAAGCCTTTGCTGGCTGATGTGAAAGCTGAAGCCCAGGAATCAGCCCAGAATGCAGTGGAACCAGTTACAGCAGGTATGTGATCAGAAGCAGACTAATCTTGGGAAGAACCAAGTCATACCTTGAACTGACTTCAGCTCTGAATCCACAATGGTACCTGATTATCAGCCTGCTCACTAGCAAGGCTGAAAGCATGATCTTCTGATGGTCCCCTGCAGATTCTCTTTTCAGTATTGCACATCTCAATGTAGTGCATTCCTGGCAACTTAAATTTCCAACCACCTGCTTAAAGCACTGTAGGACAGCTTAATAGAATGGATTTGGATGCAATGCAAGTGAATGCTAATTCTGCTGCTGTAGTAAATTGCATGGTGATTCCACTAGCAGATCTGATTGGCATACTAAGTAATGAACAGTAAACAGCTTTTTTTTTTTTAAACTTGGCTTGCTAACTCACTGCAGTTTCCTCACTGCATAAGCACATTGCTAGCTACTCAGTGTGGCTTGGTTGGTTCCAGTACACCAGTGGAATTCTGCCCCCCTTCATTTGACCAGCAGGTGTCACTGGCCATCCTGTTAGTTCCCTACTGTATGTGGTGGTTTCCCTCCCTACTCCCTGGACTGCTCCCCCACTCAGTGGGTTGAGTGCAGGTTAGATTAAGCTTCTGTTCATGGGTTTGAGGCTGGTGCTTCAATGTCATCTTGGTTCTGTACCCCAATGTTTGCCCTGTTGTATTTCTTCCTTATCTTGGTGTAACATGCCCCATCTGCTTTGCTAGGTTCCTAGTCATGTATCAGTAACTCCCCCAGTTTCCTAGTGTTAGTTATTCTATTGCTTGCTCATCCTATGCTGTCCATAATTGTATTTTATGTTCCACACCTGTCTGTCCTCATTGGCCCAGTTAAGGCCATGAGTGCAGTCTGACTGCTTAAGGCTGCACCAAATAGTAACTTGTGGTTTCTATGTGCAGGCTTCTCAGCTGAGATGGTGGCCCTGGCTGGAATAGTGGCTGCAGTGGGGCTGGTCTCAATGGTAGTACTGGGAGCTGTGATTCGCTGGAAGTGAAATGTCATTTGCTGTATGAAGTTAAACCAATAAATGTACTTCATGCTGGGCTTCTGTGAATGGTGTGAGTGTCTGATCCAAAGACCACTGATTCCAGCCTTGGCAGAATGGCCATTTGGGGCCTTGGGTGTGGTTCTTGGCACCCCTGGAGCTGGGGGGTTATCACCCCCCCCCCCTAGCCTGGCTCTCACCTGCATGTCTCATAGGGGTGGGGTAGGTGGAACATTCCAGTGCAGATGGCAAAGGAGTTGACATGATGGGTATTGGCACACCTGGAACTTATGGTGATTGAAGGTAAATGGTAATGCAACTAGGAGGGAAGTCAAGCACTGATTCTATCTCTAGAGGATGGAATCTTCAGCCCATGAGACCCTGGACACCCAAATGAACAATGTCAGTGAGGGAGTTTTATTCTCTTGGGCACTGGCCTCATCCTAACCCTTATTAGCAGTGTGACTCTGTAGTGACTCTTAGCATGTTGGGCTTGACATCAAAACTATGGCCAAGCCCATAGGTAGGGGGTGCTACATATCACTTGCATCCTAGATCCATTATTTCCCTTAATGGTGTTGGGCTAAAGTAAATGTGAGGATTTCTCCTGGATTGTGCAGAAGTAGAATTGATCCCACTAGGAAAGTGGGCAGGCTCATCCAGAAAAGACTCAGGTATGTGGGTTTTCAGTGTGTCTCTCTGGAGAAGCAATGAGTCCTCCATAGATGAGTTTGAACAGCTGACCTGAAGGTTACCCCAAAAAGCCGCATACACACTGGCTCTCTTCTCTAGAATGTAGTTCATGGCACCAAGATGCTGTGTAGGGTTGACTGACTTCGTTCTATGAATGTCAATCTTGTCTTGCCAGGAAGTGCTTTTGGAATCCAGACAATGGAGTTGACAGATCATGAAATGTAACCAGTTTGCATACTCAAAGGGAATTATGGATACTGGTCAGCTGCTGTGGTTTCATTAAACTATTGCTGTGAAACATTTTAATGCTCTTATCCAGTCTTTTCCAAAATTCATTTGAGATTATTAGCTACTTGATCTTAAGTAGTGATAACTGACTGGTCAGGGATTAAAACACAACTGGATTTGGTGCTGCTGGAAATGACTGCATATGTTCCCTGGGCAGCCCTGTCACTCTGCCCATCTAAGCAGTCCTCGTCCCACACCACCAACTTTCACAGTTGCTAGAAGTACTGGAAGGATCACCTGAAAATGTGAAAGTTTAGTCTTGCCTGAAAACTGTACTTATATGTAGGAGTAATTATTGTACATTACATGACAATTTTCCGAATCCCCACCAATCACATGGTTACTTGTATTTTGTTTTAATGTCCATGTTTGAGGATATCTGTATTGTATATATTCCTTATTACAACAGTATTCTGGATTTTGTGTATTTTTGTTTCAATGTAATAGAGCAAAACAGTAATGTAAACCTGTTCAGTCTACTCAAAATAAAATTCATTTTTTAAAGTACCTGATACATAATTACAGTATGTGAATAGTAACTAATACCTCTTTGCTGACAGCTTATCAATGTGACCAACATTTCCACTTATAAAAACACGTATAACCGATGGCGGGTACACAGAGGGAGGAGACTATTCTCCCGTCAAGTGCTTAAGTCAAAAAAGCATTTAAGCGTTTAAGTTAACGAGATAGAGTATCATCTTTGTGTCTAGAATGCACAAAAGTGTCCGTAACTAGAAAGACTAGGGGCCAGTATCACAAAGCCAGATTTCTTGCTTAGCCGGAGAACTTGGGCACTCAGAAGAGGTAACTGGCTGACTATGTAGCAGGATACGTCACCATGGTAACTCATGCTCTGACTTTCCATTATCACGATGCTGGCTGACTACGTAGCAGGATACATCACCATGGTAACTCATGCTCTGACTTTCCATTATCACGATGCTGGCTGACTATGTAGCAGGATACGTCACCATGGTAACTCATGCTCTGACTTTCCATTATCACGATGCTGGCTGACTACGTAGCAGGATACATCACCATGGTAACTCATGCTTTGACTTTCCATTATCACGATGCTGGCTTACTACTGTATGTAGCAGGATACATCACCATGGTGACTCATGCTCTGGAGCACTGTGGCTCAAAAAATATCACCAGAAGTTGCAACTGACTCTCTGAAATGTGGCTAAAAGTCTTTATCTGTGTGTATTTAGCTTAGTTTCCTGTATGCATCAGTTTGCAATCATTACTGAAATAAGAGAATATCTAGTATTGCATTATTATGAGAATGTTACATGCTTGGATTGTTACTATTGCTACGACTGCTTCATTTGTAATTCTGTATAAACAAATAAACTCCACAGCATGCACAACTATAATTATGCAGCGATCCTAATATCCACCAGGATGATCAGAGACTCATCCCAGCAACTGTCTGTTTGAGCTGCTGAAGTCACGCAGACGCATTAGGAGCATTACGGTAAAAACAGAGACAGAGAGGAGCTTCTATCCTCCCGCCGTCAGAGTCCTTAATCAGGACATGACACCACTACACCCTCAATATACACAAGCCATGTAAACCCTTCCCAACTGTCACCAACCTGCTGTTTTTAACAATCTGTAACTACATTTCCATCCACCTTTGCTGCTTATATTTATATTTATATTTATGTCACCTGCACTTTAAATATAAACTTCTAGCATCATATGCACATGTACAGTTTTAACCTTAAGATTATTTTCTATATTAGAACTTCTGTATTTCTCTATATTATGTATACGTTTTTTAGTTATTGTAACTTTTTAGTTTATTGCTAGATTTTTAACTTGTTGACTTATTCTTAATACTGTTTTTGATTTGATTTGCACAGTCTAAGGGTCGTTCAGGGTACATTCCACTACATGTGTACTAGTATGTGACAAATAAAGTATCTTGTACCTTGTATATTGTGGCAGCAATGACATATTGGACCTAGAACAGACAGGGTGACTTAGCTCTCCGCACAGAACGTGCAGAAAAATGGGGGTTAAGGTATAGTGCTTACTGGTAAATGAAGGTCCGTGTCGTTATGGTACGTCACTGAGGTTAAAATGCCAAAATATTGGTACCTGTAGTTACAAATCACAGTCGCCTAAAATGATTAGTACTGTATATGTAAGTTTTCTGTTGATACATACAAGGTGCTCCTGAGCTTTAGCCGTGCCGCACGGCGATACCCAGAGGAAACGAAATTTGGAAATGAGATCTCATACCTGTTTCATTTTTTTCTCCTAGACACCTGAGATGTATATGAAAGCAACATGAAACTACGGCTTGCTTCTCCTGTATCTCTTTTTTTTTCTCCAGAGAAAAAAGAGACACAAAATATTTCTCATTAATGAGACTAAGTTAGGTTTGACAAGATATCTTTTGTTTAGCTCAAATGTGACGCTTGTCCTCTGGCTCACCTACGTGTACTTCATCTCTCCTGGCAACTTTTATGAGATACAGATCAGACAAAATGTGAACTGAGCTGAGGCTGAAAAAGGAATCGCAATTCCTTCTCCCCAAGACATAGGACAGAAAGCTTTGAGCGCTAAAATTTTCTCTGGGCATCATAGGATAGGTTTTGTGTCGCTAGACAAGATTTTTAGTCGCTAGGGAAGGTCAAAAAGTCACAAAATTGGCAACACCGATCCGGAGCAGGTTATGTTTCAGGTTCACGGATCTCAGACAGTGCTTGGACCGAAGACAAGAAGTCAGTACATCACCTGATATAACAGATGGACTTTACCAAACTCTCAAAACTAAGGATGGACAGAATTACTCTTTTAGGGACACGGCTCATTTGATTTGGTTCACGGAAAAGATTTGCTCTGAAACATTCACCCACTCTTTGAGAGGCACTTCCTGTTTGGATAAAATAGAACTGAAATACTGATATTCCAATATGTCAAAGAATAGCACAAAATTTAGGCTATATAGTGCTAAGGAGTGAGACAAATACCATCAATAAATCATGTGAGGCAAAATGATATTGAATTACAGTAATTAAAGTCTTGGCAGCATTGTATCTTTACTCATGTTTGTTAAAAAGGCAAACCTAACATCTCATAACAAACACTAACGGACCTTGGTTAAAATCATCTTAAACTGTGAAAATATGATCTCTAAAATCTAGTTGCATCATATGGGAGGTCACTGCACAAGTAGGCTATACATTACCCCAGTAGATGGTGTATTTCAGTAATGACCCAGGTACAGGTCTCTCAGTCAGTTATGACCAAGAGGTAGCCGATCTGAGTCTCTCCGTTACTCACACACTTACCAACTCGGTCCACTCCTTCTGGTCTCTCGTCCAGTCATGTCCAACAAGTTGCCCGTCTGCATCTGTTGTTCACTCATCGAGAGTCATCGAGAGGGGAAAACTTTGTTCCATTTCCCCCACTTAAGTGGAAGCACACTGAGACGCTACACATTTTGGTGACGTATGTTGACGTAAGACACAAAGTCTGCAAAGAGCTCAAGACCTGGTCATTTCTTGAAAACAATAGAATCTAGACTGTGTCGGAATGTAAGATGTGCAGCTGCATCATTCGAAGACCGGATGCATCGCAGCAGCATGACAGGCTGCCCCATGCTCCTTCAAATACAGCCTCGAAATGCGTCATTTTTCTGCAAAGGAGTTGCAAAGGATACACCCAAAGAAACACATAATCTGCACATGGAATGATGTGCATCGTCTCCCACAGTGCAAGTTGAAACTGGTTGTGAGCAGTTTTTGTGGAGTTTGTTGGTTGTAGTGTTAGTGTGGCTTTGCAGTTTAGTATGATTAGCTTTGCGGCGCTCGTTTCATTTGTATGTATCTGTAAGGTGCAGTTTCTATATGATTCACAATCACAGAGTTTGTCATCGCAGGGATCGCAACAGCAGTTATTCCAGCTTCGTCCGAGCCAAACAAATATGCAGGTATCTTCCAGCAATGCAGTGTTCATGAGGAATTCCTGACCCTCTACAGATGTACATTACTTGCTTGTTGAAAGCAACTGTGGCTTCTGCTGCCTTGGACATGGGGTACAAGGCCTGTTCCTTCTC